AGGCAGCGAATGCCGGCGTCGGCATTCTTGGTGTTGCGCTCTGCACATCTTCAAGTTGACAAGGTTGAGAAACACTGTCCTAACCACTGGCTGGGGAATTCTGGGAGTTGAAGTCCGGACATCTTCAAGTTGACAAGGTTGAGAAACACTGCTTTAAAGAAAGCTGCAACTTGAAAAAGAGGCATTCAACTCATGAAAAGAATTGTTTTTATGAGGCAGAGCAAATCTTGTGTGTTCCCAAGCCTCTGAGTCCATCTGTTCAGGCTCCTTTACAAAGTTTCTGCTTACGGCCCGTCTCTTTCCCGGGCCTCCTCCTGCCTCTTCCCTGGGAGAAGGACGGGGGACGTACCTACCTGGAGGCCTGGATTTCAGTTGCTTGTAGAGTTCAATGGCTCTCTGCTCCCTGTGGAGAGACGGGGCAACTGTCAACGTGATTCCCTCCCTCCCCGCTTCCCCTCTGGGGCTCAACAAAGGCCGAATGCAGGTGTAACAAATGGCTTCTGTTAGTAAGAGTGGGAGCTTAAACGTGTTTACCCTCAATAAAACGGTGGAATATTTGATCTGCTAGCTCTCAAAGGGAAGAAATCTTTGTAGTTCCATCCAGGAACAAATGTGCAATTAGGAGAAGCAGCAACAAAACTATAAAAGTGATCCTCTCAAGGCTGGGCAATGTTTGGTTTGTAAATGTTTAGTACACTCAACTCAGCCAAACTTTCGGCTTTCCCCTCAGGCCAATTTCAATTTAATAAAATTTGTATGCCGCCCACTCCCTTGGGACTCTGGGCGGCTTACAGGCAAGATAAAAAGCATTTAAAAATTTTAAGATAAAAGATACAAATGAGTGGGCCATTTAATAGCACCAATGTGGATTTCAACACCGCAACTCATCAGAAAAGGAATCAGCGGGCAGAGACTTCCCCCTTTAATTCAAGAATTCTGTTAAAACTATAAATACTGGATTCCGAGTGGCCAAATCAAGAGATAAACATCTTCGGTCTCCAGCTGCCTGTTGGTCGGTACATTTACTTGTAGCATGAGCCGAGGTGGTGCAGTGGTTAAATGCAGCACTGCAGGCCACTTCAGCTGACTGCAGTTCTGCAGTTCGCCTGTTCAAATCTCACCGGCTCAGGGTTGACTCATCGTTACATGCTTGCGAGGTGGGTGAAATGAGGACCCAGACTTGGGGGGCG